ACATTTGTCTAGGCATTTATTTTCATATAAAGTCAAATAACAGGGTGACAACTCTAATTTGTTTAAAACAGCCTTTGGTCTTGATTATTGAATATTCCTCAGACAAGATTAGTCTAATTATTTTTTGAATAATTCCAGCATTTAAAAAAAAAGAAAGAAAAGAAGGTAAACTTTAAGAAAATCGCTTCATTAATTTGTTCAGATTTGCATAGCAAAAATACAAAAAGATGTATTAATATATTTGAAAGCTTTATGAGGGGCCATTTAACCCTTCTTTAAAAATTACATGCAATGTTTTCAAACATCAGCTCCTTCACCTTCCTTTGTCCTCTCCCAATGCACATTACAATAAAATTTGCAAGAGTGCACAGAGGATTTAATATAATTATTAAAAATATTTCGTCCTCTCTTTTCCAAGTTTATGTTATTCAGTAAAAGATTTTCTTATTTATAAAGCTTCAGCAAAGACAGACACTTGGTAAGAACCAGAGTTAAAGATACATTTCAAATACATGAATGAAGGCAGAGATATGCGTCCCAGGATAATGTTGTCAGATCCAATCTAGGTCATTCACCAAGACCGGAAACTTAGTCTTCTGAGCTTCCAGACCTGTGCTGAAGCCCATCCTCAGGGAACTTCTCTCTACCAGAATGTGTCCTTTGGGCTATTTTATGCGTCATATTTATGTGTGCATGATTTGAATGTTGCTTCCTATTGTTTAGGGATGCTCAGTGGCTAAGATGCTGAGCTTGTTGATCAGAAGGTTGCAGTTCAGCGGTTCGAATCCCTAGCACCACATAATGGAGTGAGCTCCCGTTACTTGTCCCAGCTTCTGCCAACCTAGCAGTTTGAAAGGACGTAAAAAATGCAAGTAGAAAAATAGGGACCACTTTGATGGGAAGATAACAGCGTTCCATGCATCTTCAGTGATTAGTCATGCCAGCCACATGACCACGTGTGTCTTCGGACAACGCTGCTCTTTGGCTTTGAAACGGAAATGAGCACCGCCCCATAGAGTCGGGAATGACTACCACATATATGCGAGGGGAACCTTTACCTTTAGCCTTCCTATCCCTCCCTGCTTCTTGCACTGTAGGTATTAGAGAATAGTTCTTTATGTCCTTATTCATTGCAATTTCAAATGCAAACAAGAAGTGCAATTTTTCATACATCGATGCTGAACTGCAGCTTCGTTTACTGAAATATTCATATGCGAATTGAAAGAAGATGGAATAATCAAGAAATGATAATTGAGTTTGGAGGGGGAGGAAGTGTGCAATATTAAACACAGCATGACAGTTTCTGGTTCCATATAACATTTATTGTTTATTATTGTCTTTCATAATGCAAATCCTTCCTATATCAGACTAAAGGAGTAACCATGTAGAATCTATGTTAAACCAATCTCAGGAAACCCCGAAAGAAATAGGTAAGAGACGATTCAAGAATTAAAACTGGGTTATTTGACGGAATTCTTTTGTAAAAGGTGTCAAGTAAGCTTCCGGATTCACTGGCCCTAAGATACGTTTGCTGCCAACTAAAAGTTAAGAACTTGATGCCAGCAGATCATGAAAAATGAATGCAGAACAAAAAGAAATCCTACCCGATTCATAATATATATGCTTTTTTTTTTTAAAGGAAACTCAAATTTTCCTTGCCACGGGCAAAAGAAATGCTTGAAGATTCTCCATGGTGTTCAGTCATTCATTTATAACATCCTGGGGAAACACTTCACCATGATGTAGTTTGTCAGCTTCTGAAATTACCATCGCTGAATGTTACATCATCTAATGGGTTTTGACAGATGGTGCTTGACATAACAGGATAAGAAATATGTCATGGAAGAAATATTAAAAAAAAAACTCTTGTGGGTAATGGGTGAAATGTTTTTGAGAGACCGCCTGCTGCCAATTACCTCCCAAAGACCCATTAGATCTCACAGGGTTGGCCTCCTCCGGGTTCC